TGATATAGAATCATTAATTACGTATACAAACCTTATAAAAAACGTATCATTTCCTTATTTCGATTTCTTATAGGGTTTAGCAAATACAGATGTAGTTTTAGTTAAAAATTCTTTAAATTTAAAAGGTTTTGAATAATTATATATAACTATTTTAATTATAAAGGAATAAAAAAAGAAATATTAGTTTAATCCTATAGATAAAAATATATTATAATAAGCTAAAAAATAAAATTTATGTAACTAAGATTTTAATTAAATTTATATATTTTACATTATTTTTAAATTAAGATTAAGTTTATATAATAATATTAAAAAAAAAAATTACATAGAGTTAATAGTAAATATATGTTGATCATTTGTGAGTTATATCAGTATTATTTAGAATCTTATTATAAGCTTTAGATGAGATTAAAAAAATAAATTGTATATGCTAATATTATGAAAAGATATTTTAATACTATTTAAAAATTTCTTTATAAGCCTATACAAAGTTTGATAAATCTATATGTAATTTAAAAATTCCTATATAAAGTTTATGCAAAATTTAAAAATTTATATGTAGTAAAGTTTCTTATCAATCAATAGAAAAAAAATCAATAGAAAAAATATTGTATCTATTTAGCTAATAATTTATTTATATATATTTGAAATTTATGAATTTGTAAGAAAATTTAATTATGATATACATGTATAGTATATTTATTATATTTTTTTAATAATTGTTTTATTAATAATAAGTTATCTATATTAAATGGTAATGATTTTTATTATAAAAACTTACAATTTTTTTTAATTTTTAGTTAAAATACATTATAAAATTTATTATAAATTTATTATTTTAAATAAATTTCTTTTTTAATAATTAAAATATTAAATATATAAAAAATTTTAACTTTAAATTTATGATTTTTTTATAAATAATTAATATTTAAATATAAATATATATAATATATAGTATTTAAATTAACTTTAAAGTGTAAGTAAAATTCCTTTTAAATTTGAAAGGAAAACCATTGAAGAGATAATATCTTTTATTTAAAAAAAAAATATATTATATATTAAGTTATATAAGAATTAATTAATATACAGTATATTATTTTTATATTAATTGATATATAATTTTTTTTTTGTATTCTAATAAGATATATTTTTAGTATATATTTGCATATTTTAAAAAATACTATGCAATTATTTGAAATTACCATTAAATAAGTAAATCTAAATCAGTTGATTATATAGAGAAGAATTTTCATAAATTACTATTATTAATACTTTAATGTAATAGCAATTATAAATTTTTTATGAATATGTAAAGATTATTTATATATTTTTTTTAAAAAAAAAAAATTGGAATTGAATATTGATATACTTAATAAATATATAGGAGATGAAAGATAAAAAGTAAAAAAGACATTACTTTTCGAAAATTCACAAACACTTATTTTTATATAATTTTTTTTTTATAATAATCACATATTAATATTTAATTCAATATAAACTATATTTGAAAAGTCTTAACGGATAACAACTTGGATTCTCGTCATTCAAAATTTAAATTATATTACAGGAAGAGATAGTTCCTTTGCTGGACTCGTCATTTTACAATTCCTTTAAAAAGAAAAAGGATCAAACAATAAATAATTCTGTATACATACATGTAGGGAAGGGATATCACAACATTCTGCACATCAAAACAATAATATATGCAATGCATATAAATTTGAATCTAAACAACAATCTTAACTATAAAAAATTAAAATAGAGCAACGCATTCAGCTTACTATTTTATTTCAATCTTTTATATTTATCCAACTTTAAATTAAATTTTTAATATTTTCATTTGGTGAAACGATTTTTTTTTTTAAAAAAAAAAAAACGATTTAAAATACCAAGTATGAACGAAAAACTGAGGATTAATCCGTTACTTCTACGCATTAGAACTTCGATAGCATCACTACGTTCAACAAATTATAACTTATTACCGCTTTCCACCCTTTCTCCAAGTAGTATATCACCATTGCCACCGACAACTTTTCGCCATGGAAGAGGTTCAAGAACAATATTATTCCTTCCTCACTTTGTGAGAAGGAAATGGGGATATATCAGTTTTATATTGTTGGTTTTATTCATAGTGATAATTCGTTTACAGTTGGTAAAGCGTCATATTCCATTTGAAGAAACGCCAGCTGTTACCGGGTAAGTAATTTTTTTGTTTCCATTTGCCAATAATGCGATCGATTTCCAAGTTGAATTCCCAATCAACTGATATCGTTTTAAAATACTTTTTCTTTTTTTTTTCTAGTCATACAAAACAATCACATCAACAACAAACAAGTCCACCAACATTTTCCACATTCATAGATAATTATCCAAAACAATTAGCAATTTTAATCATTCCTTCATCAACCACATCAATAGATACATTTAGTAAAAGTATCATAGATACATGGGGTAAAATAGCCAAACAAAATAAATCATTAAGCGTAGACTTATGGTTTGCTACTTCTGAAGACACGTTAAGGAAATTTGGTTGGCCAAATATACCATACGATGATGGGAAGACTAATAATAAGTCTGGTAGAGAGGTGGATGATGACGATGATGTAATAGAGGGGGTCAGAATGAGTGGTAATGAAAAGGAAACAGAAATCGAGTTAAAAAATTTGTTGAGAGAAATGATGCAAGAAACCATGCAGTTTGAAGGACCAACCGAATTAAGCGATGAACAAAAGGAATTTCAACAATTAACAAAGGTAAATCATGAAATTGATCATTATGAATTAATACATCATAACGTCGTTAAATTCCTTATATTTTAGGCGCTTCATTATTTATACGAAAATCATTTAGATCATTATAATTATGTATTAAAAATTACGGATAAGTCATTCGTTAGGTTACCAAAATTACTTGAATTCTTATCAATATTAAATCATACTGAGAATATTTTCCCAATCATTAAGCAACCTAAATTGATAGGAAGACCAAATTTAAATAATGAAACTACAAAAACTTTTTGTTCGAAAGGATCAGGGTATATAATAAACAAATATTTATTAACGATTATTGGTCCACATTTACCTTTTTGTTTGTCAACTATAAATAAAATTGGTCTTAAAGAGAATAATGATTTACGAGAGGATTTATCTATAGAAAGATGTTTTACGCGATATGTTCCCATGTTTAAAGGGTGCGAAACATTTGTTGATAATGGTTTGGGTAAATTACCCGGACATGAGTTCTTATATTTGAATCCTAATGATGTAATTAATTGGGAGAAATACAAAGAACCTTTAGAGGTGTTTAATGACGAACATATGAATCGGTGGAGATTTGCTGATGCTATCGTTATTGGTGAAGTTAATGATCCTTTGAATATGATGGCTTTAGAAGAATGGTATGGTAAAGGTGGAAAATTTGATGAAATGGTTGAAAAAATGGGTGGTGTGATACCGGATCCGGAACCTATACTTACACAAGAGGTGGATCGTGTCGAGGATAATGATGAACGTAAAGACGTGAATAAAGGTGTGCAAAATCAGGGATCTGAAGAACAATTGGAGAATTTGGATGATTTAGAAGAAATTTTAACAACAATGACCGCAGAACAAACGGAGACGTTATCAAATGAAAATGTTAATTATGAAACAAAATCTGAGCAATCCTCGAGTACCATTAGTTCATTACCAACGATACCACCAGAAGTACCAGTAAAAGGAAAAGAACAATTTAACGATTCAAAAAATAAAATAGATACAACAAATTCAATACATTAGAAGAATCACATCCGATACATAATAATGAAAGTCTCACAACATCAATAGAATCTTTTGATGGAGGTGCAAATGAATTGAATGAGATTAATCATAATGTTGATAATGGTCCTGATGTTGGGAATGGTGAAGCATTACCTTTAAGCGATGAAGATTTAACAGAACCATAACAAATTACATTTATTTATTCATAAACTTTATTTTTTAAAAATAAAAAAAGATTAAAGATGAGTTAAACTTTGTTTTTCGTTATCTTATCACAAACTGCAGTAAAATCTCATCTTAAAATTAAACTAATGAAATTAAAAATTTACTTAATTCTTTTTAAAAAATTTCTTTTCTATATTTAACAATCATACAATTTTTTTTTTTTTTTGCCATTTAAAAGAAATTAAGATTCAACTTAAATTGAAAAAAACACAATTACAAAATTATTTTTAATAAATTCAAAGTATATTATAAAGAAAAATAAGAAAAAAGAATAGTTCGTTTGTACAAAAGAGGTAAGTTAAAAAAAAAGAAAGGCAAAATCTGCCATGAAATGAAAAAATTATCAACCAAATTTTGTTTGAATCACCAAAATTTCGAAATTTAGAAAGAAAAAAAAATCATCTACATGTAAATAGGAAGATTTTGCCTGCTTTCACATATATACTTTGAAAGATAAAATCAACGAAGATGAAAAAATAAAAAACGCAAGGCAAGCAATAGTAGTAATAATTAAACAGTACTTTTATACTATTTATACTACTATCAACATCGCTACATAATTACAACTTTACATCCATTAAGAAAAAAAAAATGTTTCCTAATGTATAACCCGACTAAATCAAAAAATTATGCAAAAAAAAAGCAAATATTTGACAAGAAAAGAAAGAATAAAATAAAATGAAAGAAATTATGAGTATTTACTATTTATAAAATTATAAAACCTATGTTTTAAAAATTTTTTGATCATAGTCCCGCTAGGTATATACCTATTAAACATCATCATGATACCGCCACACTCTTGCTCGACAATCGCCAGAGCCAGTGGCAAAAAGTTTACCAGTTTGACTTAGAGCTACCGAAATTACTTTAACAAGGAAGGAATTATTTTAGTAATTGAAAAATATTTTCCCGTTTTAAAATATAAAAAATTATATATTAACCAACCTGAGTTTTTGTGTCCTTGTAACATGAATTGTGTTTGTGCCGTTTGAGGATCCCAAAACTGTACTCCTCGATCTTTTGATCCAGATACTACCCAACGACCATCGGGTGAAACAGCCACTGACAGCACGAAATCCTATTTTATTTTTAATTTTTTTTATAATATTAATGATGATCAATTAACTTCTTTCAAGGAAATTATAAACAAATAAGATAGATACCTTGTGTCCGGTAAATGTTGTCTTTGATTGATTCTTTTGACCAGATCCGTTATTATTCCTTCCGGGATTACTCATGTCCCATAATTTTAGAGTCTTATCTAAGCTACCAGATACCAATGTCTTACCATCAGGTGCAAACGCTACGGAATAAACACTATCCTTATGACCTTCCAATCTTTCAAGAAGATATCCCGTTCGTGCATCCCACACTCGCACTATCTTATCCAATGAACCTGCGGCAACGTAAAGAGCATCGGGGCTTATGGCGACACTGGTAACACCAGCATCCTTTTGACTGGGTTCATCGATTGAAAGTTTGTATAACAATTCTCCAGATACCATGTCCCAGACGCGTGCTGTCTTGTCACCTGACCCGGAAACAATGAAACGACCATCACGTGAGAAGTCAAGTGAATATATATCTTGTTCGTGACCAGGGAAGAATTTTCGGATGGTTTGAGTATGAATGTCCCAGATCTATTAAAAATAAAGTAATATAATTATTTGATTCCTTCGATTATGTAAATTTGATCCAAAACGATACTAACCCTGATTTGTTTATCCTCAGCACCAGTCGCCAAATATTTTCCGTCGGGACTAAAGCATACACTGCGGATATATAAGTCGCCGGATTTGTCAACATTGGTATCATCCAAAACGCTAAATAGTAAAAAAAAAGTAACCGATTAGTGCATTAGTAAACAAAACATAAAGATCGATTCATGTGATCAGTGAAGGAAGTGATGACTTAATTAATATATTTGCGTTTGTGGTGTTTGTCCGTTGAAGGGTCCTAAATGTTAAATACTTGAACAAGTAAGGGTAGGATCATGGTGACTTACCAGATTTTTTGGCCGGAATTAACATCATAAATTTGAGCAATTCTATTGCAACCAGTAGCAAGGTATTTTCCGTCGGCACTGAATTTTACACAACAGACCACACTAAAAAACGGAAATAATAATACTTTGTTAAATACGGAACTTTATTGGATGATTATTTTTGATGAGATTTACCTTGAATGGTCCAATGTGTGAATTAATTCGACATCGAGAACGCGCGGAACTTTAGGGTTGAAACTAGATAAGGGAAAAGTTGATAAAGCGCAATCATATTTAAAAGATAATTCGAAAGGTCACGTGACACCAAATCGCTTCGTTAAAAGTACCAAATAGAGAAACATACATGGCAAACCAATCGCCACCCTCTCTCTTCAATTGAGCGGGAACAGTTTCGGGATCCATATCGCCTAATCCAGGTTGAGCGCCACTAAGTGAACCTTGTTTAGTAGGTGGACGATTACCGGGCGGTAATGGGCCCATATTAGGATTATTTTTACGTTTATTAGATTGAGGACCAGAAGGTGGAGCATTACCATTAGGAGGAACTCCGGAACTTTGAGGACCTTCAGGTCCAAGATTCTGAGGCATCTGCGGTATTAACTATATATGTCATAATTTGTATATGGTAAAAAAATAAAAATAAAAATAAAAATTTCATTCGAAATAATAAATCTGTGTCTTTATTACCTTGGGCATTTTATTAACAGGTTTACTGCTTTGACCGACGTTTGAAATATAACTTCCTTGATTTAATGATTGTTGACTTGATGGACCGGGTGGAATTCCATTACTACCATAAATACCCGAAGGAGGTTGTTGAGAATTAGGTGGGAGTCCCATAGGACCCTGAGGACCACTTGGAGGTCCATTCTCTTCCATACGCTGTCGTTTGGGTGCATGTTGCTGTGACAAAGTTGGTGGTGGACCACCACCATTCAAATATGGAGATGGTGCGGAACTACCACCAGATTGAGAAACGCTTTGTGGAGGGCCACCTGGACCAGGATAAGCACCAGGATGACCTTGACCGCCTGGTGGGGGTTGCTGAGAAGGATCTAAAGACATTTGAGGTGGGGCTACAAGAACTTGTTGACCACCACCACCGCTCATGATTGCACCAAATATATTACTTTGACCTTGACCAATGGTTGGGGGAGGAGGTTGAGGGTGTGATGGTGGTTGGGAATGAGAACTAGAAGAAGGATGAGAATGTAATCTTTGTTGTTCCATCTCACGCTGAAGAGCGCGCATTTCACTGTCGTATCTACCACCACATTCGGGGCGATTTCAAGTAATTAGAATCATGCGGTAGAAATCGATTGAAAAATCAATTCATTAGCATAGACGTTTAAAAAATTAGTTGGTGGTCGAACACCAATAGTATCAAAATGGTTATACTTACTGTGCTTTTATGTTCTTCTGTGTATTTTGTAAATCGTATAATCCTTGACGAATAAGATTAACTTCATCAGTCTGTTGTTGGACTAAAAAAACCATGAATTTTTTTAATTTTTTGATAGTATTATTAGTAGAAAAAATTTTTTATGGTTTATTTTTTTTTTAATTAATTAAAGACGCGTCTTTAATTTCCATAAATTTTACACAAACATCTCTCAACTTATGGCACATGATATAAGCAAGCAAATCCGTAAAAAGGAAAAAAGATGTTGATGCAATGTCCGATTAACATCTAAACTCTACCTTTGTGTTCAAGGTCATCTCGTTGCATTTTATACATTGCTGCTTCTTGTTGAAGGGTGTCAAATTCTTGTTTTAGAGCTTCCAAGAGCTCATTAACTCTACTTGTTCCACCTGCACCACCGGGAACAATTTGCCTATGATTGTAAATGTTCGACATATTGTGATTTGTGATTCTATTTTTAATCTTAATCTTTTTCTTTTATTTTTTTTTTTTTAAAAAAAAAATTGTTTCCGAGTAAAAAAAAAAAAATCTCGTCTTTATTCTGACTCGTTTCTTTTATGCCCAGTCGGTTGACGTAGATTAATTAATCTGTTGTAGTGGTACAGATTAATAGAAATTAAAAGGATAAAAATTTTCAACAAGTCAATAAAACACATTCAAAACAGATAACGGGGTTTATTTATTTATATATATATGTATAACTACTCTATTATTTCTTTTTTTTTTTTTTAAAAAAAAAAAAATGCCAAATAGTTTGTTTAATAAACCATTCAGTCGTTGTTATATAGTTCACGGTAAAAATTTTTTTAAAGGAATATAACGTAAAGAGCAAGATTGATGTTAAAACAAATGTTCAATGCACGAAAGTACTTACAGTTAGCTGTAGATTGAGAGTACCAATAGCGTTTAGTTACAAACTTCACGACTCGAAAAGTTTGTTAATGAAGAGAGAATAGAAATTATTAGGATCAAACATCAACGAGTAATTTGAGAAAGGTTGTTTTTTTTCCCTCAAAAGAAGCAAAGTGTGGGCAAAAGAAAGTTTGGGGGGTGAAAGTAGAAATAAGCAAAAGTGGTGGACTAAAATGAAAAAAAAATTGATCAAACTAGGGAACCCAGTGAACTCTAATGGCACAAAACGAAATCTGTTTACGTCATATAAATCAACCAAACCACAATAGGAAAAGATTTGTAACACAATATAAAATAACGTAATAAACAAATTTTACGAGATTAGACTCAAAAATGAGCACAGCAGGAAGATTGCATATTTCCGAGTCTACCCTGAGTAAATTAAGTATTTTTTTTTACATTATAAAATTGACAATAAAAAAAAAATTTCATTTTTTTTTATTAATACTTGTTGATCTACATTGGATTTTTTAATCTGGAGAGTTTAGACTGCATTGTTTGATATTATTACCTATTATTAATTAGATACAATAAAATGTTGATATCGATAAGACTCTCTGATTGTGTGTAACCAAAAGAGATGTGCGATGGTGATACTTTTTATTTTACCTTACTATAAATTCCAAATGTTATTTAATGGTTAGGCTGAAATCATGAATTAATTTTTTTTTTTTTTTTTTTGGAAAATGCAAGTGTCTGAATATTTAGAGCGAATCTTTTGTAATACAACAAAAAATTGAGGTTCATCGGTTGGTCCCCGGCAATCCAACTTCCTAAAACATATTGATAGCCCGAACGGAATGTTCAGTCTACCACATTTATGAAGTTTCATCCCTTATTACTAATTAAATACTTTTTTTGTCGTTTTAATGTTAACAAATAAACAATCCTTCGCATAATAATAATCTCAAAATTATATTTTAACTTAATTTTTATGACATAAACCCTGATATACATCATCATTATTACATAATATAAATCGGAAAAAGCGGATGATGAAATGGTGAAATGGTGTGTTAAAAACAATGTTGTTGGAACCTCTCAATCGTTCATACTTGAATTTCTTTCCAAGTCGTTTCTCACTTGCCAACAAATATGAATCTATAATTTGATAGCATCAATAGTTTACGCTCGATATGGTTTGAATGTGCCACATGGCATTGGTCACGTGATATAGCAGAAGGAAAAGAAAAAGAATTCCTGTACTATCAATTATCATCTTTTATAAGCCCTATTAGTTTGTATTACGAATCATGCAAATCTTGTCCGCCATCCAAATTTTTAATTCAATTACGGTAAAGGAGGGACAAATGATTTATAAGAAATGTTTACAAAGGAAATGTGATCGATTTTGGATGGGATTGTTCTCCTTGACCTATTATTAATATTATCATTTTTATTATTTTTATTTTTTTTATGTTTGTGTATCAAGTCATCGTGTGCGATGTCAAAAAAAAGGATTCATGCTTTTTAAATTTCAAAATGGAGTGATAAGAACAATAAGTAATATTTCATACATAATGTTTATTATGTATGGAAACAAACAAGAATGTGAGACAATTACTTGAAAGAAGAAATCAAGGATGGGGTAGATGTTCAAAGAACGTGATGCGCGAGTGGTGGGAGGAAAATTTAATTTATTTATGAGGAGATGCACGCTATGCCATATTGGGTAAGCCTCGAAATATATTTATATATATATATAATTCTGAAAATAGGTTATTTTGTTCATCAATCCCATAAAAACCTGTCATTCTGTCTTGTTTATCATTCACGCCATTCTTCCTTCTTTTTAGTAGTCTAGACAATAAATGTAAAGGATGGGCTGAAGATGCTTAATCTAATTAATTTTAAAAAAAAAAAATTTACAGGAAAAAAAAAAAAATGGTTTCCACATCTTTTCTAGTACAACTATATACAATACCACGATCACGCAAATGTCATTCCTTGTGTGCCATCACATGATCCTTGTGAACGTTCCCCACAACTTCCCGCTATTTTCATTCTAATCAGCATTTAGCAAGTGACCTGTTACAATGCTTGTTTATTATAAATTTTGGATTGATTGTATAAAAGAAGAATTGCTAGTCTATTAAAGGAATGACTTACCCCAGAAGCACACATTGTGTACAAAGGAACAAAAAAAATTATGATTTTCATAAGTTTATCTAAACAGCTAACAAGATTGGTGTGCCTTTTTTTGTTTTCTCCTTTCCCTTCTCTATTTTAATCCAAAAATAATTCCGAATATAAATAAAGGTACAATTAGTATACATCGTTCATTATTCTGTCATCAAAAAAGACAAAAGAAATTGATTTTTTTTTCTTGAAAAAATCACTTCCAGATAAAGAAATACAAGCAAAGCCTCAAACTCGAGTATTTCCCCAAGCTGATAGATTTGCAACCAAAGTGGATATCGCACGTTTTTTTCAGTTCGGTCTAAATTCTTTTAGCCATTTATCCTTTTTTATTATAAGATGCTAACCTTGTATAGAATTTTGTTAAATGTTTAAGCCTTTGTCAAAAATAATCAAAGAGATAAAATCTTTAAGTGCTACAAAATAAGAATGTTGGTTCAAGTTAATTCATGTTAATCATCACAAGAAAAAAGAAGTTTAAAAATAAAAATTCAATTTACAAAAGACAATTTTTTTTTTGTTTTTGTGACTCTGGAATGTCTGACTCAGTTCCTTTATTTTTTTGTAAAAAAAAAAATTAATTTCACGGAATGTCCTAAAATTAAAAATTATTATTTTCTCAGTGCTATAAATAAAAAAAAAAAAACTCTTTTTTTTGTTTGTTTAAAATTCTTGTTTATTAAAAAGTGGTATAATTGGTTGGTGGGAATAAAATTAATGGAACACATGACTATTTTAAAAAGTTGACACAGAAATTAAATATTCACATGTAACCAAAACAAAGCAATGGCAGAGGTCAAAAAAAAACAAACTAGTTAAGTAATTCACACTATATTAATTAAAGTTTCCAATTTATTTATTTTTAAAAAAAAATTACACTTTTGGTTCATTCTGATTATGTTGATTTTCATAGGCTCGAGGATGACAACTTTCAATTTTAACCGTATTGCGTATAGTGTCATGGCCCGTATCAACCTTTGATGATTTCTCTAATGTTTTTCTGCAAACCCCTGGTGCATCCTTCAAATGGCATGCGCGCAGTATCGAAGAGATCGGACACGTTTCCATGACTTCGGTTTTTCGTGTCACACTTCTCATCCTTTCCAAACGGAAAATCAAAAAGATTATCGTCAAAGCGGTTATACTCATCGCTCGATGGTTCGGAAAAGAAAGGTTCCAAATTAGGCTGCGAGAAAGGATAAAGGAATTCCGCGTTACGCTTGGATTCATCCAATGGTTGTTCGACTACAATCTCTGCCTTTTTCCTGCGCTTTAGACGTTTTTGTTGTTTTATCAATGATTCGTTATTATTGGTATGAATGGTTTTGTCACCTTTTGGAAATCCCTTTTGTTTTTTACCATCGGATTCTCCATTTTTGATGTCATTTTGTTTCATAAATATGACCGTTAATTCTTTTGATAGCTCATCGTACAAGTATCCTATTTCGGTCCGATCTCCCTGAATGTAATGAAATCCTTGCCTTTTGAGATTTTCAATACAAATAGTAATTAACTTTGAAATTAAAATTGCACCATGGAATAAATCTTGTTCAGGTTCCTGTGTGGCTTCATTTATCAATTGTCTTACATGATCTCTCATAACTTTTAAACGTGCCGGTGTGATCACTTGGGATCGAGACAGGTTGATTTTATTAAAATTCATTTTTATTTTTCATTATTTTATACATTGAAAGGAAAAAAAAAAATGTTTCACATTTTATTCAAATAATTGAGGCTATTTATTAATGAAAAGAATCGATTATTTCTTTGTTTTTTTTTTTAAAAAAAAAAAGTTTAATCTGATGTGTCATACATGACTAACGTGATTTTATTTTCTTTTTCATATTACTATTTATGATGATAATAAATTATTTACCGTTTAAATATTAAGTAAAATTTATACGTTGGTATTCCCATCACTTCACATAAATTGAGATCCAAGCCGAATTATGTATGATATTTAATGCTGATAAAATTAATATCGATATTATTAAGTTAATGTACGAGAAGGTCCTTATCAGATATACGATCTTTTTTCTTATTAGTTTCAGGCATAACTTGTTGTAACCACTCTTTAATTGATTCCTTGCCAGCTTTAACCGCTTCCGACATATTTCTTTTGAGGTGAGATGATACTCTGGTAACGTGGCGATCCATGGTATCAAGTTGTTGGTTAACTTTATTGCTAGCATCTCGCATAAACTCATCATAAACCATGCTTAAAATTGCCAAACGTTTAAATTTATATTTGGCCATTATTCGCTTTTCTAGAATTTCATTTGGATAGATCACTTTTGCATCGTCAATGTAAACTCCTTCTTTGGTTAGTCGTTCGATAAGCGCTTTGAAATGATGTTGTGCTGGCTTGTAATGTCCACTGTTTGGATTAATTTCAATAAGTTTACCATCTCGGACTTTAATCCCTCCAGCAGCGCAAATAGCACCTCCAGCAAGAAACGAAGAATGATGAAAATGACCCTTGGTCTTTTGTCCTACATAGAAATTCCCATCACAATCCGTAACATAAATCCATTTCTCAATTTTTATCCCAGTACTTTCAGTACTTCCTTGTCGTGTTGATGGCTTAATTTGTTCATCAGATTCCTCAATTTCAAGATTCAAGCTTCCTTGAGAGCTAGGTGCAGGAGACGATGAACGTGTTGGAATGGGTAAAGACAATAATCGTGTATCAACTGCTATATTTGGATTAGTTGAATCAGGGTCACTTGACAATTGGGCCGGTGGATTAGTGTGCACCGGTTTATCGCTTTGTGCATAAATGAGCATCCCATCCTTAAATGTCACTTCAAATTCTTTACGTTCCTTTCTTGTGAGATATTTTACTTTTTGACGTTCTAATAATTCACGTGGTCTAGCTTCCAAATTCAAGCTTTTGCCATCACCTTTATCTAACCATTCGAAAAAATTTTCTGGAGTTGACGTCTTGAGCCAATAGTCATGATAAACCTGAAAACGATGATTTTTAAAATACGATTAAATTTATCTTTTATATATATATATATATCTTTTTGGGGGAAATAAATAAATGAATGAATAAAATATGCGAACCTTAAGATTTGATCCATATCGATGCTCTTCATCACATATTTCTAACCAGTGTTCTGTGTCCATAATGAGCCAAAGATGATTCTTAACAGAACTAGACCCCTTTAAATATCGATTAAAATATCGAAATTTCAAGGACATCACATAATAAAAGAAAAGATCATAGAAATTGAATAATCTTCACCAATCAAAAAAAAACCATATTGTAGGTCAGCTATCAATAACAATAGAATAAAAAAAAAAAAGATTTTGGTCAAATACTTTTGCAATGCGTTCTACCACGGTCATGGCGAGTTCAAGTTTTTGGTTAGAACTTGGAGGTTCCTGAAGTATTTCTTTACGACGTAAATGTGCTTCTACAGCGTTGAGAAGTTCCTCCCATTGAGACCAAACAGGACAAGTCTGGCCAGGTAAATGAAGGCACGAACTACCGCTTTTGAGAATATTATCTCTCGAGTTGGCAGAAAGGATCTTTCCCTCTTCCTCCCGTGTTTTACTAAAATATAGACGTAATATTTGTAAACGAGTTTCTATTTCCGAAATCGTCAAGTTTCTATTAATATTCGAATAACCTGTAAGGTTATATTTACCGGTGGTGCCGCCAAGCATTAGCTATTTTCGTTGCTGAATATTCTTCACTTTCTTTGTATGAATTTTGTTGAAGTTGAGAAGTAGTCAACCCCTTTTTTACCGTTTCGGCTAGAACATCAGGGTCAGGTCCGTTGTCGGGTGGTCGAATGGAAGCCATGATTTATTTTGAAATTTTCATTAATCGTAAAGATATATACAAACGCCTCATGAAACAAAAAATACATTGATAAGCTTAAATTTTGCTGCATGATTTTATTGGTTGCCTCTAACGGAAATGAGGGATTGTCGGAAATGCTAGCGAGGTGGTTAAAGGGAATGCACGATCCGATCTTATGACCGATCTCGGTCCAATCTGAAGGTTGGATTGGATCGAATTCAGATTGATAATTACCTAACGAACGGTTTCGGAAAATTGTTAAGTCCGGAGCATATGTAACGGAAAGATCCAATTAGCATCGACTCAATTATCGAGCGGACTGGACATCCGTCTCGTGTAACAAAGCGAATGTTCCGGATTATTTCTTTTTATGACTTTCAATATTACGCAGTGAAAATAATTGATATTTTTATGTTCGTTAATTTTTAAAGCAATATCATTCCAAATCAAATGTTTCTTTTTATTCAGAGTAAGGTGAAATTCAGCATTTCTCTGTTTTCGTTCGTCAATGAGAACGTGAACCTGAGCATCACTCACTGTTTAGAATAAGAAATTTATGAGGATTTATTTTCTTAATTGTTTTAATCATAATATCGTCTGTCGCTTTCTTTTTATCTCTATTTGATATTACGCTATTTGAGTCAAACCGACAACTATTTTTTGAAAAGGAATATGTTAACCCTGCAAAGGAACGTAGTATATTTTACGACGTTAAAGATGAGAAAATCATGAGAGAAAACGCTGCAATAATCGTGCTCGTTAGGATTAAAGAATTGTCAAATTCACTGTCTTCTATACGACAGTTTGAAGACCGATTTAATAATACCCATATGTATTCCTAAACGATAAAAAATTCACAAAAGCGTTTATTCGCGTTACTACTGCTATCATAACCGCCGAAACAAAATATGAAATATATGTATAAGCATTTGTTATTGTAAACAAAGGGTAAATCCTTTTTGTTATATATATTTCCCTTTAAAAAAAGGGATAATACCAAAGGAAATGCAAAATGGATAAATCAAAAGATGCTTGTCATAAAATGCAAGAAAATGATGTGGCTCGGAGTCTTATCGTCATATGTGCCGGACTAAGAATTTCATTTATTTATATAATATCATTTATTTATTTTGTTTTATCTAATTTATTTTTTATTTTTTTAAAATAATTGACAGAAAAAATATACACATATTTATATTTCAATGAATTTATTGATATATTAAAACCTATTAACATCTGACTGAAACCTTTTTTTTTTTTGAATAGAAAAAACAAAAGGTGGTTTAATTGTTTGTTTTTTCTTTATAATGATTATGAAAATAATTCAACAAATGTTTGATTATTGAACTTAAATCAGTATGTATTTAGAACCATACATTTTATTTATTTTTTTTAAAAAAAATAATAAAAATATACTTTTATTATTAAAAGATTTATAATTAAAAAGCATTCCTTTATGGATTGAAATGAAAATTTGTTATTGATAATTAAATTAACATGAATTATTCAAATATATAAGGATGATTTTGTTAAATAATGTCTAAATAAATGAATAGATAAATGGAAAATTACTTGATATTTGTTACTTTCTATTCAAATAGATGATTTGTATTAGGGTTCCTCAAAATCAAATCAAATCAAATTGAATTGAATTGAATTGAACTCAAATATTTGATCGAATCAATTTGAATCAATTTGAATTTGATCGAATCGAATTAAATTGAATCAAATATTTGTCAAATTAAATCAAATCAAATCAAATATTTGATTGAAAATGATTCTAACTATAAAAAAAAGACTAATAAGGTTTATTTATATTTATATGACATTTAAACTTATTAAAAACTCATGAACTGACTCATAAAATAGTTAAACCAATCAGAAAAGGTTGAATATAATTGGCTATTACAGTGGCCAACTATTATTGAATATCTTTTTCTCATGAGTTAAAATTATGATATTTTCTACTTCTAAAGCATCTAAACTTTTAGGCGTTTCATCTAGTGTAATAAACTAAAAAGTTACCTTATAGATCACATGATTTTTACTTTGTTACAAAATCTATCCAATCAACTAAAACTGGCAGATCCTCAAAATCCATCCAATTAGTTAAAACTAGCAGATCCTTAAAATCTATCATATATGTATAAATATCAGATATATGATAAAAAACCAATTATTACATTTCTTATTTTTATTTATATTTTTATTATTTTATTTTATTTATATTATCAAGTTTTTTATAAAAAGAATAGCTTTAGAACTTTATTAAAGAAAAGGAAATATAATAATGATCTAGAGAATTTACTTTAGTTTTATCACTAATAAGATAATTATTAGATACACTTATATGATAACAAATACACTTGTAATAATTCTTTTATTTAATAAAACTCTAAATTACTTAATCTGTAAATTATATCTTATTATTCAAAATATATATTAGTGTTAATACTAATTTTAAGTCATTAGTATCATAAGATAACACTAGTATACTTTAATGTTAGAACAGAAAGAGCAAAATACAATCTTCTAGACTTCTTTTAGGACAATGATGTGCATTTTATGCTTTCAATAGTAAAAAATTTGATTGGAAGCTTTCAATCCAAATAATTTTATTAATAAATTGTGTTTCCAAACCTTTCAAAGGTACTTCCAGGTGCTTCCAATTTTCCAAGTGCATATCACTGCAGTAGATTATGTCCTCAGTTTTAATTGTCCGTACTAGTCCATACTATATATATAGTATGGACTAGTACGGACAATTAAAACTGAGGACATAATCTACTTGCTATAGAGTATAATGTCCTTATCTAGACTACTAAGTGTCCCGGTGTATGCTACTTGGCCTTGAAATTGCTGTGAATTCTTAATTTCATTATCGTTGCCAATCGTGAATTATTATGGTATATAATCTAGTTTATACCCATTAGACTATGTACCATAAGTAGACTACATTCCGTGACTTCTGTACCTGTTAGTTGCTGGCCTTCTGCATCTTTTTGGAGGTCAGATTAAATACCACTTATTTCTTCTTGTTTCTGAGTCGTTTACATGCTAAATTCTATAATGATGTTGTTGAACTTCTGTAGCTGTTTGGATGCCTGGTTTTATGTCGAGGGTGCTGGCCTTCTGACCTTATTGAGTGTTAGATTTTATATTGAGGTGCTTACCCTTTGCGCCTGTTTTCTTGCCTGCCAAATACAAAAAAATATCGTGTCGGGTGGCGCAGTAAATCTGCGATTAATTTCGGCTGACACTATGCCATAATTTTGGCAGATCTTTTGGGCGGAATATCTTGGTTTCCAGTGATTGGATTCGTGCAATCTTTGGCTTATTTGAGAGAGCGTGATGAGAGCTTTCCAACGGTATTAAGACTGCATGAATCGGGTGTCTGGATGCCGAGATATTACATCCAAAAGTTCTGGTAAAAATATGGAATAGTACCGGCCAGAATTTATCAGATCACCATAATTTACTGCGCCTTACTGCGCCGGTCACGTGATACTGTTCTGGCCCGGAACACCCTCTGCCATATAGTATTACTAATTTTGGCCGACATTATGATAAAGCTAACCTGGCCGATTTTTTGGACATATGATTTTGGGATCCAACTTGGTACCATAGTAGCGTCATAGAAGTGGTGAGGTACTAGTATAATTCTATTAGTTCACCAGTTCCATATGCCGGTTTGGATGCCGAGTTATTATGCCCAAATTTCTGGCCGAAGTTATGGAATCGTGCTGGCCGACATTATTGTTAATTTACTGCGCCTTCAATTCTGGGCACTTTCCCGTCACTTTCTCGCAACCTTCTTGCAACCCAATATATATGCATTACTTATTTTTTGTATGTTAGCTTTGCTAACCCGGTTGCCTCCCTTTTTCTATTTGCGGGATATTGTAAGCAGTTCCGAGGTCCAATCATGGTTTAATCTAGGTTGAGGCAGTGTGTATGCTATTTTTTTTGAGCGTCACTATTTGTTATCATATTTGTCCCAGTTGTCTAAGTTATTGGGTCAACTGGGACGGGAACTGGGACGGGTTTCGATATGGGAGAAGAGCCTCTTTCTTTGATTTAACTTGTTCTTTTATATTATGTCCTAGTTGTCCTAGTTGTCCTAGTAAAAATAAGAGTAGGAAAAAAAAAACGTAATTCTTCCTATGCTATATGCTAGTATGCTATATGTATGCTATATGTATGATATATAACGGTATATCTATGGGTAAAAAATAAAAAGAGTAAGGATTTCCGAAAATTTACTGGGACAACTAGGACAACTGGGACGGGCTATTTCTTTCCCTTTCATTCGTCTTAAAAATACCATCTAGCTATATTTCATCCGTCCCAGTAAATTTTGACAACTAGGACGGAAACTAGGACGGGTTTTCTGCTAGTGAGAAGTTGTATCATTTTCGTTTACCTCTAAATTACCTACCAGTAAGTCTACCATCCTTTTCCGATGGTATTGTTCCCTTTTACGGTGCTTTCTAGCATGATCATCGCAATATCCATATTCGGAATAAGATAATTTTCCACATTCTTTGCAAAATACCTGAGAAGGAGAATTGCGATGAATAAAACATCCATCCGGATGGTAGCATCCCCGATTGCAAATCTTACCACTCCTGTGGATATAAGTACATCGATAAAATACCATTTTTAATAACTATTGATAGTTGATTTATGTATCGATCTATATAGTTCGGAATTAATTTTCATTTTAAACTTTTTTCTCCCGGAGTATATAGTTTCTCTCGAACTGTATATTTGCGATATAATATCATGACCGAACAATCCGAGCTTTCAGAGTTCCTCGACGCCCCCGCCCCTTTTCACCCAGAGGCTGAAAAAGATAAGAAAGGTCAGGTGATTCGTTACTCTGGCGAAAATTACTTAGTGGGTATCCCATCTCGTAATGAATTGGCTATGAGAAACGATGAGGGTTCAACTTCAATTCTCAAAGATGAGATAGCAAAACATCGAGATATCCCGTTCATGCCAGTCGATATTGGAGAATCCAAAGAATATATCTATGGAACTTCTCACTATGTTCTGCGCCTTTATGGTTCTCTTATCAATGGTCAGAAAGCGGTCGTAACGATCACTGGTATTAAGGTTTTCTTTGATATTCGTGTTCCAGAGAATGCAAGTATCCCTAAATTCTGGTCCAAAATAAAAGGTATACTTACATCTGGGAAAGACAACAGGGGGGGTATTATAAACATGAGTCTGATTCGAATGGAATGTATAAAAGCATTCCCTATCCGTGGCTATCATGCGGAAAAAAAGCCATATCTCCATATTATTACACCCAATAAAGACCTAAGGTTTACTGCTCTCGATATCATCTCAAGTTACAATTCAAAGGTTGATCCCGAATGTAAAATAGAGACAGCTTCAGACGATACAGGCACATATTATCGTAAAGTTGCAAGAGAGTATCGGATACCACTTTCCGGCTGGGGATTAATAAGTGATTATAGATATAATTTCGGTGCACCTTATTATGCGAAATCCCATCACTGCCCACATGCATTCTATGTCCACATTGATAACTTTCGCCCCATAAACAATTTTGAACCACTTTATAAAATCTATCCATCTTCTCTCTTTACTTGCGACCGGACACTAGTTCTAACATGGGACATAGAAACACACGATTCACGCGGACTAGGTAATAAAGCCCCAGAAGCAAAAAATGAAACAGCTCAAGTTTTTACGATTTGTATGACTATCCACTGGAAAGACGACCCAAAACCACTAGAACAAATATGTCTTGTTGATGTTGAGACAGCACCGGAGCCACACTGGACAACAATTATATGTGGGAATCAAGCCAATTTATTAAAAGCTTTTGCTTTATGTTGGAAATCCTTTGCCCCAGATATCCAGCTTGGTTTTAACGATTCTGGTTATGATTGGCCTTTCATTGCAGAAAAGGCTACTAAGTTAAATGTTCTTAACTGGATGGTTCAGCGAATGTCGGCAAACCCGCATAAGAAAGCTGATGCTGAATCCATCCTCATTTGGAATTATTTTGGTGGAACAGGAAAACCACTAACTAATGGTTTCTTCCAAAGGAGCCAATGGGTAAAGAAAGCGGATAAGGGTCCCAAAAAAATATCAGGCGGAAATTCCATCAATATCAAAATCAATCCCACTTTGAGCATCGAATCATCTTTTCTTAAACTTCTCGGGTGCGTGCCGATCGATGTTCGCGCAAGTTTTATGCAACTCCACCCCCGCTCTGAGAAAACATCACTCAAATTCTTCTTAGAAAAATATGGTCTCGATGGTAAAGCTGATATGCCTATGAGC